CAAAGCCCCCCCCCCCCACTAAAGAGTGAACTGGGTTCCGCCATACAAACATCATGATTGAGGAACAGATTGTTCTTAACTCCTCTACACAGCTTAGCGTCGCGCCAAACTTGAACCTTAAACATTATGACAACAGTATACACTGCAAGCACACGGCACAATGTTGTAGTAAGAGTAATATATTACATTTTTTGAGTAACGAGCCCAACACTGGTAGTAAATTATCATCACGCGTCCGCAGCTCTGTCACGCGAACGCTCCCATTAGAACCAGGGAAGCTCTTCCGTCGCGTCGCGTCGCGTCGCGTCGCGCCGCTCGCTCGCAGCGTAGAAGGAGAAAAGGCGGAGTCCGTTAGAATGTTAGTGACGAGGATAAACGCGTACGGTGGATTCCCGCCACTCCGGCGGCTGCGCGTGGGCATCAGTGGGAGAGTTCCGTATAAAAGCTCCCGCATCCTCCTCTGCCTCTGACACTCTCTGTTTGAACGATACAGTGTCTTCTCCTCTCCTCCTCCTGTGTTTTCTCGGAAACGTTTTCCTGCAGTAGAAATTCAAATTCTCGTCTATGGTTCTGACTCAAGCTTCCAAAATGTCCCGGACCGAAGAGGTGCACCGTATAACGGAGAACGTCTATAAGGTGAGTTTTACTGTTATTATTATATAGGCAGCCTTAAATAGTTTTATATTTATATTTCCTCTGCATTGAGGAGCCTATTTTCTGTAGCCTATATTCTGTGCCAGATTTATTCATTCTTGTTGTAAACCTAAAACAAAATTTTAATGTAGAGGTTTTCTTTTTAAAGTTGCTTGCTGATGAATAACTTGCTTAAAGGGACAGTTCATCCAGAAATGAACATTCTGTCATCATACTCGAACGTATGCTGTTCCAAACGTGTCCGTTTCTTTCCCGGGACACACATAGAGAGATCGTGGGCAGAATGTGAGGGACTGATAGCCTCAGTCACCATTCACTGTATTGCATCAATTGCAATATTATGACTTTATGACTGAGACTGTCTAACTAAGTGAATTATGACAGAATTTATATTTTACAGCGAGCTGTCCCTTTAAAACTATAGGCCTATAGGCTCATGTAATTAAAAGCAGATATAGCTGATTTCAGTGTAGAACCAGTTTAGCCAAATACTTGAATCTGTCATCTCACCTGTAACTCACTGGAACACATGTGAGTTTCGGGTGCCTAGAGTGATTTCATCGCTTATGCTTGTAGAAGATAAATAGCCTACATTTCAGGAGTTTACTTCTGGACATTTCCTCAAGTTCTCTGGTTCCTTTATTTTTGGACTTTGTTAAAAGCTTAATATATAAATACTTGCTCTGTCTTTGAAGGTGTTAGTGTGTGTGTTAGTGTGTGTGTGTGTGTGTGTGTTTGAATTAAAACCATGGATTTGTTTTGCTCTAAATGAGTTCTCGGTTGGTAATGTGGTATGAAACTGATTGTGTAAAACAGATGGAGCATATCTGAGTCCCATCAGGAAAGAGTAATGCACTTCCATGGATCCCCACAGCACACGCATAAGAACAGTCATTTATTTCTTTTCTCTGCCAGCATTTCACTTGTGGAGCTCGAAGTTCTCTGGTTCCTTTATTTTTGGACTTTGTTAAAAGCTTAATATATAAATACTTGCTCTGTCTTTGAAGGTGTTAGTGTGTGTGTTAGTGTGTGTGTGTGTGTGTGTGTTTGAATTAAAACCATGGATTTGTTTTGCTCTAAATGAGTTCTCGGTTGGTAATGTGGTATGAAACTGATTGTGTAAAACAGATGGAGCATATCTGAGTCCCATCAGGAAAGAGTAATGCACTTCCATGGATCCCCACAGCACACGCATAAGAACAGTCATTTATTTCTTTTCTCTGCCAGCATTTCACTTGTGGAGCTCGTGTCTGTTGTAGCGTACCTCTTTGAAACCACCTGACTCACCAAACTAAACCTTGGTGGCTGCTGAGACTGACCCAGTGAAGCGTGTTAGTCCAATCCTGCAGACGTCTGTTAAGGGACTTTAATGTTTAGGCTGTTAATTCCAACCCATGGAGCTAATATCCTTGGCTAGAAAATTAAGGGACACTATTATTTCTTGGGCAGGGGCGGCATTTTTCTAAGCTTTTAACTTTTCTTTGTGGGTAGAGAGAAATTGTGCAGGGAAGAGAACAGAGTATTGCCAGAAACCATGTAGCAAATGCACTTTTTAAGGTGATATTTTAATGTGAAAATGAGACATCTTGGCATTTGCTGTACATTTTGTCCTATGCATATGGAATGCCAAATATCATGCACATTATTAATCTATTTAGTTCAATTAAAATGGGAGATTTTTCTTCATTTTAAATCACCTTTTGCTTTTTATTACAGTTAAATACATTTTGCAGTGTGACTTAATTAAAAAACAAAAAAACATTTAAATAGCATATTAAATAATATGATGTAATAAAATTTTATGTATTATAATTATATTAAAACAATACGTTGGAAAAAATGGTTTAAAATAGCTTTAGATGAGCTATGCATGTCACACTGCATGATATATCAGTTTTTCCATATAATACTAGATGAGAAACGTTTATAAACAAACTTCAACGTTGGCCTGAAAAAAGCCTAAAAAGTCTGAAAGTTTAAAAATGTCACACTACTTATATTTCATATATATATATATATATACTTAAATGCATTTTTAATGCTTTCTTAGAGTGATCACTAATAGAGCAGTTAAAAAATGAACTTGGGTTATGTGAGTATGGTAATTTTAATTGCAAGCTTTGAAAAAACCATGTGATTAGTCAAACATGTGCTTATGTGTTTGAGGAAATGGAAATCACATTTGACAGAAGTGTGTACATATGTAAACTAACAGGAATGCTGCTCTAACGTGGAAAGGATGAAGTCAAAATGAGGTCATGATAATATCTGAAGAAGGAAGTTAGTTGTCTTGTACTGTATGTCTTGCGTTGAATGTGGAGATACATTTTTCATGAGCTTAAAAAGCTGTGTAACCAGCCGAAAGGAAAGCTTTAGTTTAATAACTGGGCGTTTCTTGACCACATAATCCTCCTTCAGGATTATTTTGCATGCATTAGTATTATCTTCTTGTCGAAGGTAGAAGTTTCAGAGTATTTACAATGAAACCATTTCCAATATTATGACATTTGATGAAAATTGACATTTTTCTGCTGGATTGTACTTGATTGATTGTCTCAGGATTAACTAAAGAGATCAAGCTTACGTATTTCCAATGTTCTCTCATAGATAGGATGATTTTAGGTAGGATGAAGCCATAATTTATAGAATTGACTACTTCAAAACCTATATTGAGGCACTTTAGAAAGTAATCTGTGGTAGCCAGCTCAAAGAAAAATGATTTAAACCTCTGTTGGGGATCATTATTTCAATGTCCTGTAGCGTTGAGAAGTGGGAACTCAAGTCATGACTCATGACCAATGTTACCTCTAGCTTTGAGCATTGAGGTTGTTTTGTCCTTTCAGGCTCTAAGTGGGAGGATATTCATTCCTCATTGGGTCTCTTCTTGGTTTCTTTAGGCTCTGTGATTTGTATAATTATGGGTATTGTGGGTATCCTCTATTATAAGAAATAAAGAGACAGCGGATGCAGTGGAGTAATAAACTGCACCCACAGATGGAAGAACGAAGTAGTGGGCCATTTGACAGCATCAGGCATCATCTTTCACATCAGCGGTTCTCAACTGGAGGGACGTGACCCAGAAATTTGTGTTGGTTCTATCACGGACAGCAGGGCAAAACACTGCAAAATGCAAATCATTAAATACAATGTAACATGTAATCATTCATTGTTGAGATGGCAAAATAAATAGGCTTGTTATCAACTTTTAAAAGGGCAGAGGAAATGGTCCCTGTATCTGTTGTAGTTGACATCAACGGTCGAGAGTCTGGTAAAACTCTACAGCAGGTGTGTCAAACCCAGCTCCTGGAGGGTCACAGTCCTGCAGAATTTAGCTCCAACACAACAACCTGCTTCAACACACTTGGTTTTCAGGTAATCATGAAGACATTGATTAGCTGATTCAAGTGTTTTTAGTTAAACTTTTACTTTTTCAATGTCGACCACAATAGTTTTGAAGTGCTGAACCATTGACTGAAACTGTGACATTTTAATTAGCGTTTCGACCATCTCGCTGTGAGTGAGTTCAGCTTTGTCTTTGCCCACGGTGAGTAGGACAGTCAGACCTCAAAGATATTGTCATCTGTTGGAGGCAGTTTCTTTCGTACCACGCTGCACTGCCCACACCTTGACCACATGTCCACGCTTGAACTGGCCTCTTACTGGGCCACACTTCTGTTGATGTAGATATCAGGCTGAATTATGCTCATGCATATTTTCTTAAAAGAGGAATATTTTTTTTTTGTCCCTTTTCCCTCCAAAGATGGAGATATTAGGGGATAATTCAACAAAAAATGTATTTAATATACTACAATTTTACTTGTAATTTACACTGACTAGTGCAACTGGTAAAACTGTCAACAATCACCTTTAAGTCACATTTAATGACAACGAAACATTACTTATTGCTGCCCAGAGCAGTTCCTTTGTTTGATGGATCTGTACCTTGTTCCAAAATCAACATTATCTCTGTGTGTGTGTGTGTGTGTGTGTGTATTTGTTTTGTGTTCAGGTGTGTGTTCTCAATAAAATGAAGTGGATTGTCAGGGCGGAGTGGGGATTTCTTTATAGGCTTGCTATGAGTTTTGGGTGAGGTCAATTAGTGTGTTTTGATTTCCCAATTCATATGCACCAGAACTAATTTTTCCAGCTGATGAATGATGAAAACATTGACAGCCAATCAAAATCCATCCTGCGTCAAAGAGCTTGGGCATTTAAAGTGGCAGACAACAAAACTGCAGTGCATGCTTATAATAAATAGAACATTTATCTCGAGTTGGTGTGGACGCTAATATAGTTATAATTTTTGGTGTGAACGGGCCTTTAGTCAGTGCTCTAATGTAACAGAAGACTGTATTGTTGTTGAGTTTTATGTGTGCACCCAGATGGAGAGAGAGACCGCACTGTTGTCTCTGTGTGATTCATAGGTGAGAGGCAGGCCAGCTATTTGAATGTCAGTGATGTTGAAAGAGTGAATGAGAAAAAGATTTTATTTTGCCACACCAGATTATTGTGTTCTCGCAGGCACAAAATGTTTTTGTACTTTCATATAAAAATCACACAGATACTAAAAAAAATCTGAGCGATTATAACGGAATTAATTAAAATAATTATTTAAGCAGCTTGGTGTTAAAATCCACTTCAGGTTTATTGATAAAAAATCTAATATTACAAAATGCTTAGGTGTCTGAGAGGTATTTTGGTCTTTAGACATGTCTTCAATCAACGCATCTCTTTTGACATTTATTCACAGGGCTATGATGTCTTTAGCTCAAACCCAAAGGTGATCTGCTTATGTGACAATATTTTGGGTCTACCCCACCTCATTCCAGTCTAATGTGGGCTAATGTGGTCCTTGATGGATATAATGTGATTGAAGAGCAATCTGTTTCTGTCATGCCTGTTATGAATAAACACTGGCAGGGCAAACACACTACTGTCATGCCTGCCAGGCAGAGTGGTTTGAGTGGGTACCAGAGAAAGGT